TGGGTGGGGCCCGACTAGTAACCAATGCCAAATCCGGCGAAACAACTGGCCGCTGTGATACAATTGTATAATAATCCACGTGGTGATACTGATAGACTATATCTGCATTCGCTGGCTGGGGAATTCTGGGAGTTGAAGTCCGGACATCTTCAAGTTGCCAAGGTTGAGAAACACTGGTCTAGATTTTGATAAAGTTACAAATCGAATTAATTTTTATATCAATACCTAGGAATATTAAGAGGCAGCCCATTTAGATTCATTTAGGGACCGTTTGCAGTTACAACAGCATTAGGACCATTTTTCACACTTTACGACCGTCGTCATAGTCACGTGATCCAAATTCGGATGCTTCGCAACCGAGTCATATTTATGACGGTCGCAGTCTCCCGGGGTCACGTGGTGATCCCCTTCGGCGACCTTCTGACCAGCCAAATCAACGTGGAAGCCCGCTTCACTTAACGACTGCGTGACAACTTAGCAACGGCGGGGATGCGTTTAACAACGGTGGCAAGGAAAGTCATAAAATGGGGGCAAAACTCACTTGTCTCTATTAGCAGCAGAAAGTTTTGGCTCATTTGTGGCCCCAACTCAAAGAACTATCTGTATTTAGATTTCTTTCCATTTTTTATGAAACCTTAATTATTTTAAATGAGCAGATTTCCTTTGATTCATATTTATCTCATTCAAAAGAAATATATCTAGGGTTTTTTTTCCCTCCCTGAAATCACGTCTCTTTCTTTCCTGATGCCCTTGTAGTTTTTGCACTGCCTATTAAAAATAAACTTTTAAAAAGGAAAATAATGAGCTAAGTGGGTATCCTGTTTTTTTTTATAAAAAGAGGTAAGAACCGGTAATTCTTCTCGATCACATTTTTTTAAATTCAGTGCCTGCAGTGTATACCTTATTTCTAGCCGCGGAGTGGAAGTAATAATGATGATTAGCGGGAGGAATAATAACTCCGGGGGTATTTTTGTCAAGCTAGTCAGAGCACCGTTTGAACCATAATCAAACGTTATTCATCCAATAATATTATTACAGTAATATTAACAAATATTATCATCAGTCAATTGGAAAAGACAGCTTGAGTCGGAATGGCATTGACAGAATCGCCGTCAAGTCAATTGCAGAAGGTAATTTTATTGGGGGAAAACATTGAGAAAAATCACAGGTTAGTCAATTGCAAAAGGTAATTTTATTGGGGGAAAAACATTGAGAAAAATCACAGGTTAGTCAATTGCAGAAGGTAATTTTATTGGGGAAAAACATTGAGAAAAATCACAGGTTAGTCAATT